GTATCCAGGATATCCGCCGCGGTATACAGGATATCCGCCGCGGTATACAGGATATCCGCCGCGGTATCCAGGATATCCGCCGCGGTATCCAGGATATCCGCCGCGGTATCCAGGATATCCGCCGCGGTATCCAGGATATCCGCCGCGGTATTCATGACATCCGCCACGGTATCCAGGATATCCGCCACGGTATCCAGGATATCCGCCATGGTATTCATGATATCCGCCACGGTATTCATGATATCCGCCATGGTATTCATGATATCCGCCACGGTATTCATGATATCCGCCACGGTATGCATGATCAACTTCTTTACAAATGTTATTTCAGACATGTACAAATAATACAACATGCAAACTGAAACAGATGACTAATGAAATGAAACACTAACAAAATACTACATTAATAATTCTAATAATAGACAGCATTTCACACCATAAATAGCAGCAACTGATGCAGTAAGTCATTGCAGTTGACACAAATATATATTTGGCCCTAAAAAAGGAATTGATGAGTAAAATGTGATTCAGTAGAGAACAGCATTTGTTTTAGAACGATGGACACACATGCTTCAAATGTTTCATATACAATAAATATAAATACAAGTAGTTACTGTGCTTCTCTATAGGGTAAAATAGTGTAAGCCAGTGGCTAACATTGCGTAGTAGTTACTGTGCTTCTCTATAGGGTAAAATAGTGTAAGCCAGTGGCTAACATTGCATAGTAGTTACTGTGCTTCTCTATAGGGTGAAATAGTGTAAGCCAGTGGCTAACATTGCATAGTAGTTACTGTGCTTCTCTATAGGGTAAAATAGTGTAAGCCAGTGGCTAACATTGCATAGTAGTTACTGTGCTTCTCTATAGGGTAAAATAGTATAAGCCAGTGGCTAACATTGCATAGTAGTTACTGTGCTTCTCTATAGGATAAAATAGTGTAAGCCAGTGGCTAACATTGCATAGTAGTTACTGTGCTTCTCTATAGGGTAAAATAGTATAAGCCAGTGGCTAACATTGCATAGTAGTTACTGTGCTTCTCTATAGGGTAAAATAGTGTAAGCATTGGCTAACAGCACATTGTTTGTAAACTAGATTTTATGTTTAAGCAGAAAAATGCATTAATATTTAATGTCTTTTCAAAAGACAGTGACATATTAATAACTATGTTTAAAATTGTATTTAATTAAAATGCGACTTATGTCTCGTGGTGATGATGTAAAGTTTACAAACGTTAACCACTTTCTCAGAATAATTCCTGTTTAAAAGTTCATTTACTTCATTGGGGTTGTAAAGAACTATTTTGTGTACCAAAAACTAAAGAAATTAACGAGTGTCAAATGATGAAGTGTTAACATGCAGAATTAGTGGATGAAGACAGTTGGTGACAGCAATCAATCAGTGAATAGATCTACTACTGTGAATGACTATTTGAAGATGGATACATCATCACTGGAAACCACAATCTTCACTGGACCAATAATTTTCTTTAATCTTTGTTTTTATACAATGTATATGTAAATATTTTTTCAGAAAAAAAGTGGAAATAAATTATTCCACAGTACCAGGAAAGTTGTTTCAAATTGTCATGGGAACATCTCTAACAACGGAATTATGTATGTGTACATGTATATTAAAACTGTTGTATTGTCTTTCTTATTTTTCACATAAAACCTGGAGTGCCTGATGCATGTCTAACCATAACCATTATAAGGTTAAATATATTAGAAATGATATTATTGAAATAAGAGTTGTTTCACAGCACTTCCATGTGGGTGGCTGACATGTGAACCGTGATGCACGACATGCAAGATCAGTTACAACACGACTCACATGAAGCGATATATATCACTACTAGTGAAGATGAAAATAATCTCCTGAAAAAATTTATGATGGAGTGGAAGAACAATTGACAGTGAAAATAAAAGTTTTTTCTACAATTATGTTTTAATTTGTTATACCCGAATTTGGTTATAATGATTCTTATCTCAATAGCACAGAGAGTAAATCACATTTCTTTTTAAAATTTACTGAAACATTGTTCACTGGACCAAATAAAATTAGTAAATTGTATGATCCAGAATAAAAAAAAAAATTCTGAAAGAATGGTCTGTCTAATACCCAGCACCTTTCATATAATGGTTTACACCCCACCTACATGTAAAACAAACGACTTACGTTTCCTGTGAGTCAGTTTTAATTATCTACAGTTTAAACTATAGTTCTTTCCATTTCAAGATGACACTTCTTGCAATTAGATTGTGGAATCCAGTATGCCATGCTTTTGCTTTTGCATAATTCTAAATGATATAGCGGCTGACAAAGTACATTTCACAACATATTATTGAGAGGAATATCCCCTACTTGACTTAGTTTTTTTGTCTTTCTAAACATCAAGTTTATTTTGATTGACATTCACAGAGAATTTGATGGCTGGTTCAAATTTATCCACTTTTACAGTGATCAATGTTGCGTTTGTGTTGAGTTACGAGTAATTACAAGTCTGATTTACATTTTTCTTACCATGTTTTTTCCTAGTCAAGCGGTATTAAATATAAGTGCGTTGGGAATTAGCATAATTATATTGCGCGAGTGAAAGAGGCTGGTGAGACTGTGTCACAACGTATTCCATGTATTTCCAACACGCTAGGTCGCCGCCTTTGATGGAGTTTATTTTGTTTTTTCAGTCTCCCAATCTATCAATGGCAGAGTTTGTTTCATCACGTCTCACAACTGAAAGTCCAAGCTGACTTTATTTTGGCTGTAAAATACGTGCAAGACACTTGTTTCGCTGCTTACAGATTTCTGATTATCTGTAATTAGCGAAACAAGCCATTTACTAATTAAACTATTGTTATTTTCGGCAAATATTTTGTAAATATTGTGCGTATAAAACCTATTTTCTCTGATTACAGTTTATTTTTTATTATGTATGTCATCCCATTTCGTTTCGTTTCGTTTCTTCGATTACAATAAGCCGTGTAAACGTAACCAACCAAACACCTGAACTAACTGAACAGGTATAACACTGTCAAAACGGTTCTAGGCTTGACCTAACGCATGTAAAAGTTGAAACGTGCGGCGATGGTGAGCACGCACGACTTTCCATGAAGTATGTTTTAGTGGCCCCTTTATGAGGTCATTTGACCGTTCATAGACTAGTAGACAGACCGACACTACACTTCAGTTAGTGACTTTCACGCAATAATAATGGTCAGTTTTGTACACTGACAGGACAATATTCGTGACATGTCACGCGAGAACGGAATCTCAGCGTTGCACCACACATATTACGCTGCCTGGAGCACACTTTACATTCCAATACAAGCACGTTAATTAAGTCTACATTACTTACCATAAGACTCAATGCAAGTCAAATGTATCGTTATAAATGCTGTGGCCAGGTCCAGGTTCTAAAGTAAAGACTACGAACATGAATTCAATACCATTTGCGTGCGTGTATGAAGTACGTATATGCGTAACAAAAATATGTTGTTCTTCTCTCTGTATTTTAGAAGCGTATCATAATTACTCCGAGAACCAATTAGCCATCCATCCATCCACGGCGTTGCCAAATTAGAAATTCGAGAAAGTCTCTTTTTGAATTCGGGTAACAAGTATTCTTAGTCGCCTAAGGGGTCACATATACCGGAAACAATGGTGAGGGCGTTTATTGTCATGCCATGGTCTCATGCACGCGGGTCTCACGAGTCTCACACAACCACTTTACAGTCAGCTGGCGCACAAGTGATAATATAATGTATAATAAATGCGATATTTACTATATGGTGGCCGCCAAATATCAAATTTATTTTATTATCACTTGTGCTCTCCTCAAGACAAAATAAAAAAGAGAGGCATTTCTAAAATATCAGTATTATATGATAGTGTAACTCAGTGAGTAAAAGTTGTAGCAGCCAAAGTTTGGATTTCAAAACTTCTCATGTTTCAGTCTATAGGAAGATAATCTAAATTAGTTATTCAAGTGTTATAGTACAACAAACAGGTCAGGATAAGATGAGATCATCTGGCCCTGCCCGGAGCAGCACTTCGGCGATGATCCTCTTCAGTTTGAGATTGCTTTTGTCACGGTCACGAGAACAAAGAAAATATTTTTCATGTTTTTCCAACAAAATAAAAGTATATTAATTAGTTGTTACTGTTTTGGTGCCCAGTAAATTTCACTTTTTGTTAGAATGGTCTTTGTATCGTAATACCAGATATGGTTTGCCGTCCCCTTTCTCAAACATATCCAAAACCAACAAATGTGCAACGCAAATCACGCAAATCAGCTGGTCTTATCAGTCTTATTTGTAGCAAGGATTTATACTGCAGATATGTTAATTACTGAATTTTACAACCGATGTCCGAGTACACGTGAAATGGCACCCTCACACAGAAGGGAGAAAACAAAATGAGACTTGTTGATTGAAAACACATTTCTACATATTTTGAGCCACATATTTGAACAATTAGCGTGTTTTTGTCACCGTGGTGTATGGAATTTGTTGTCAGACTATCATTGTGTTTTGCATTATTTGACAGTGCTTCTAACCGATATATGTATAGTGTAGATACGAGAGTCGATTCCAAGAAAACAAAATTGCTCAAAAAAAGTATATGTAGTCTGAGAGCGGATAGACACGGTAATAGTTATTTATTAAGACACAGCTACATGAATATTGAAACTCGACAGCACTGTTTCGTACTCAGCACTCATATATATATATACAGAGATTAATATTCAGTAAATGGAGCAACCGGATCTAAACACACCAAATGCTATTAATTTGACTAGATTTACCCACCATCTGGCATCAATGATTGTTATATTTATTACAGAATATTAACAATACCAATATGCTCGGCTGCGACAAAAACCGCAACCGTAACTACACACAGCGATAATCTCCATAATCAGCGATAATCAGTTGGACTGCTGGGAGGGATTTTCAGCGTATTTCGTACCCATCAACTTTGGGTAAATAGGATTCATACAGTCACGACGATTCATAATTGATGGGAAATTTTGGAGGAAAAACGATTCCGTATAGCCATAAAACTGACTGAAACAAGTATTGAAGTTAGATATATCTTGGACAGTACCTTCCATAGTCGCACTATAGAAGTACGGTGTGCGCAATGTTCCACTTTGTCTACAGATAGGGGGTACTTAATTTGAAAGTTTACAAGTAACAGGACGCTCTTTTAAACCATCAAAGTCGCTCCCATCCCCGTCCTTTAAAACTAATACCAAATCATTTACTGTATACTTTTCAACTTTCCCGGGGATTACTAAGACTGTCAGTTACGCATTGCCCCCCCCCCAACACATACACACCCTATGTCATTCGCCTCTCCAAAGATTATAATTTTAGTGACAATAGTAATATAACACAGTGAGATCGTAAGCCGATACAGAATGCACGCTGGGAGAACACTGTTGAAAACCAAACACAGATATCGTGACGTCGAATTGATAACAAATACGCAGACGACAACTTTCGACATGTTTCGAATAGACACGTTATATTTGCCGGTATCAATACAGCGTTATTGTTGTCAAAATGGGCGTCTTGTTTATTGCATATTATGAAAGAAACACACTAATTGAATTTACGTAAAACGCGTGCGATCAATAAAATACTACGTTGGCATTGTCTAGCGTTATTTCGATCGTTAGTGTTGTAACATGAAAATAGTATGTGTCAAACACGTTTAGAAAAGCAACAATTATTTTTTATTTTTCGTCCGACCTCGACGGTGTTCACGGTTTGGTTTTCTACCAAAAAAATCATTTTCTACAATGGGTCAGTTATTTCTTTGGGTGGCTTTTTAATAGTTAAGTTAAAAGATATCTAATGAAAACTATTTGTTGCAATCAAATCTATGAGTTAATAACTAGCATATGTTATGTCTACACCAAGTACATCACAATCCACGCATTTTTAGAAGAACAGTTAATGATGAAACGTTCGACGTAAATTAAAACACCTGCTATTATTTGAGCCTACCGATTGGACGATAGCCAGATACATATTTACATATGACTGAATGTCGAAATTGGCGCTATTTTTTTTCCAGTAATAGCCAATTAAAAACGTCGCTCGTGACGTAATTAGATAACAACCTGACAACAGCCAATTGAATGCAGGGCATCCCAACGAGCGTGGGATACTGCTTGGTATAAATATTTCGTGACAGCAAACAGGGCCGCTCAGTATCGCTATGAGATTATCGATGTAACTCAAAGGTAGGACCAGCAAATCCGGTTTCGTTTCTAATGGACTTTATCACAGCCCAGTGTAGAGCAATTTAATTGTGAGTGTCCTTTTGACCGGACACTGACACCCGCATTGTAACTGTCGCATTCCTCTATTCTCTATGTAATGTTCTTTGCCCCGTAGGTTATAAACATATTAATAATGTTACCTTCGACGAGTCAGGCTTGTGTGCAGTTCCAACCGTCAGCAGTGATGGTTGGAAAAACTGCGAGGCAGCCATTAGGTGACGTCATGGTGAACAACAAGTTGAGACAGGTGAGCGCTGATATGTATTTACTGTTGAAATTTAGCCGAGTCACAATGGCCACGTAGTAGCCCCATTCCTTCTTTCCATTGTTTGCTTGCTTTGAGAAATTTGCCTAGTGTGTGTTCAACATTTAATTGATCCTAAATGAAAGTACACTGAATCGTGATGCCCGGGTTACTTCGTGTTTAGGTTTGTTATGGTGCTCATCTTTTTAAATAACATGCTCGTATGACGAGCATTTCAAACTGGTCTGCTCGTCAATGACTGTTCAGTACTCGAAATGAACGTCTACAACTCTGGTCTTGTGGGTTTTTTTTTTATAGGTCAGTTTATATCTACTAAATAGTTGTGGAGTGTAACGAAGTGGGGCCTTGCCTCTTTCCGATCACTTAGTGCCCCATATTCCGTGATCACTTTATACTTGCAGGATATAGCATTTAGTTTATTTTTTCTGTGCCTTTTTCACATTCGCGGTAAACCGGCTTTCACCCTTTTATACACAGACCATTTTTATTGAGAAAAACTCCAAAAAATAAACTAGATATTCTAAGCAAGTCTATGGTCGCACTCAACCGGACACGTTATCGTGCAATGGATCTCAATACAGCAATGTATTTTTGAATACCTTTCCGAGTCGCTGTACTAACTTGTCACTGACTATTCCTCCTCAAATGGTCATCTGCTACAGTATACTTGGTTATGTCCAGTGAATCCACAATTTTTGCTAAAAAAACACGAACGACTATGTACGCTCGGGACTAAGTTCTTTAATCCACACCAAGCAGAAAACTGCAAATTGCATCTACACGCAACAAAAAAAAAATCATTTTGACCCATTATTGCTTCCAATATAGATAAAAACCCTATCTGCCATTATGCATGTTGTCGCCAGCCTGGCACCATTCACATCCATACGAATCCACTCGGCCGTTCTTTGCTACAACCGATCACTCGTTCGAATTTGGTATGAAACTAGCATATTCATCATAAACTTCCAAGACACTTATCCAATCGTACCAATTTGTTAAATTTTTAGTGCTGCGTTCGCTTGATCATTGCTTTCGGTTAAAAACTTCCTAATATGTGCTGTAATAAAGATCTCTGAAGTATTTGCGATGTTATATCGTGTCCCCTGGTTATACAATTTAGTTTCATAGAAAAATTACAATACTGTATAAATACGTGTCCGGCCGTGACTACCTAGCAACCAAAATGCAAATTATATTTCGTTCAGGCATTCTTTTATCCTTTGAAAACAAATCTGTATGGGTATGTAATGTTTAAAAATTCAGTTACTCCGTACTACAGTAAAACTGATTCAACGAATTATGGAATGATGGTTATCAGCACGCGTTTTATCAAGGCTTGTACACATATTACCAAATTGTAATAAAGTGGCAATACATATTCCAGTACTTGATTATTTTGTTTTTCAGATTCAAGAAGGAAAAGTCCTGTCCAAATTTAAATCCCGTTCCAGAATCCCATTGAGAAAGTATGTTGCAGAAAACAAACCCCATATTGGGGCAAAGAAACTACCTAATGGACGAACAAAAATGGCAAAACGCCTTAAGAAATCGCTGTCGTCTTTATCCCCAATTAAGGGCAAGTATTTTATTGTTTACCATATGGAGGGTGGCGTACGAAAGGTGCAAGTTTAGTGTTAAAGTTTTAACAGACTCGTGATTGGATTCCTTTTTTGTAATCGAAAGTTTTGTCCTTGCAGAAAAGAACGAAGTGCAACTGGAGTCCCTTGTTAAGCTGAGCGATTTAGTAGACGAATGTTGCAATGCAGCGCCATCAATATCTACAAATGACCCATTTCAGTTTCCAGAATATCTCGATGACATTTACAAGTATTTACAGGTAATGATAGCCAGTTAATATACGAACTGCAGTACAACTGAATATATATATATATTGGTGCAACAGATGCGCCAGCACGAACCATTGTGACTGAAATAGTTATGCAAATTTAACTAGCTTGGCCGATAATTTGTTCTCTGTAGCATATGGAAAAAAAATCTTGTCCACTGAACTGTTATTGGAAAAACAAAGAAGCCTCGTGTAATGGCGTTAACAGGACCGTTCTACTAGATTGGTTAATTCAAGTACAGGCAAGTATCTTCTCCCATGAACATCATAAATCGACGCTTGGCAAAATGAACCTTGCTGAATATACATGAATATCAGCATAATGCTATTCCCAGCACTACATATTAGTGATTTAATTTTTACCATTATGTGAATAACATTCTAAGCTACACTAGGTTAGACAACTCATTGCATTCACGAAAGTTCAAGACGGGGTATTTGCAACTACCAACATTCGCGATTTCCAAAATTATTTGTTTGCAGTGTCACTTAGAACTACTGGACGAGACGCTGTTTTTGACGATGAATTTGATAGACAAGTTTTTGACAGTTTCATCAATACCTCTGGATAAGCTTCAACTACTCGGCATCACGTGTCTACTTATTGCATCAAAAATAGAAGAACGGTATCCTACTGAGGTAAGAAAACGTACTAAACTTAATACGAGTGTCGTGAAACAACTGCCTAAATTTGTCGTGTACCTTTCACGAATCTAAATATAAATGTAAAAAATACTACCCTTAAATTGACTTTCATTTCTACATATTCTAATTACCTTTGTAGGTGAACAATCTGTGTTTTCTGACCGCACATTCGTATTCAAGGAGGGATGTTCTTCGCATGGAAGCTATAGTTTTACGAAAAGTGGAATTTGAACTTAATTTTGTATCCCCTGTTCATTTCTACGATTTATTGACAGCGATCACATCAGAAACAGATGACCAGGTAAGAAAATGACCAACGTCAGTTCTTCTACAATTTACAACTGATTAATTTAGATAGTTTAATAAACTTTGCTAAATAAGATTAAAAAAAAATTGTATACGGAAATAGAGTCCCGCCGCAGGTCTAAAACCCGCCCAAATGCATACATTTTTGGAAACTCTAATTTCAAGAGCATTATCAAATCGTATTAACAATGGCCACAATTTTAAATGTATTAAATTTAAACTCCATGGGTGGTTCAAATTTGCATACTAATTGTAGCAAATTTCCCCATTCGTTGCCCAAAAGCTACATTTCTCGCTATTCTGACAGGTTCAACCATTAGGACGATACTTGATGGATCTGAGTATCTGCAACAATGACATTTTGAACTATCCACCATCACTACGTGCTGCATCGGCGCTATACTTCTCGAGGCAAATTATCTACGAGAATGGCGAGCAGCCGTGTTGGACAGACTCTCTGACCGCTTTCATTGGATTGAATGAAGTAGATATGATTCAATGTGTCGATATATATGCACAGTTGTTATTAAAGGCACCAAAGGCCAAACAACAGGCAAGTAACAACATTCAAGTTGTGTAAATTCAGATCGGTTAAAATAAGTTTCATCGAACGTATGCTTCAATAGTTCTATTGGCAAGAGTTTGTAGTAAATAAAATGCGCAAGTGTTAACTGCGGGCGCTACTCTATCCCACCTACCCCATAAAAACACCATTTTGCTACACAATTTTAGAGAAGCTGCTTGTGCTACATGCAACTAGTACCAATCATTAATTTGCTATGCATTTTGTATTTCAGGCTGCTCGCACCAAATACAGCAGTAAATCCCGCTTCAATAGTCTTAGTCTTCATCCAATTCTCACCGAATCAAGAATATTGGCAGCGTTCAAAACGAATCTTTCCCATTCATAAGTAATATTTACAATATTGTATTCGTTTTTTTTTATTTTTCGTTTTAGTATATTTATTTTCAATGAGGTCGAGTCGAAATTAAAATCTGTCTGTTCGCAATTAAATATTTGGACGAACCTGTAAAGATCGACAAAGACTTCCAGTGACATTTTTGATGTTTGTATCATATGTATATTTTGTAAAAATACAAGCACTAGCTAACAAATTAATATAAAATTTACTAAAATTAGAATGATTAATTCGCTCAATTGTAAATATTAACGATAGCATGATTCTGTAAATATGTTCTACCGATGTAAGTTTTTAACACTGATTGCTGGCACTTGTTTATATTTGTATAGCACCAAACTGTAAAAACAAACCAGAGCTATATCTTTATTTTATCGAATACAATATCTGAATAAAGTTAAATAATTAAAAAAAAATGTTGCTGCAGAGTTTCCAGTATTTATTTCTTTAAATCCCCGCGTAAATTACACGACCGGTCCAACCAAGTGAATTTACCCTAGTTAATATCACGTACCTTTGACGTCAATGTCTCTGTGCTAATTTCGTGATGGACTCGACTGATTGAAGTAGTTTGTATGGCATTATTACGTTTGGTCAGTCACCAACTCTAAAACACTGTCATGAGCAAGTATGATTCATCTATTTTAGCTTATTTTAATGACGTTCTGTATTGGGAGAATACAACATTTTATTTTCAATTTGAGTACCATGCTTGAATCTTTTGCTGAATACGCAAACAAATGCACGGTAAATCCAATTCTCATGGGCATGAAATTATTGGAATATATTGAAGTTTGATCTTTAACGTTTAGTTTTGTAGATAACTTGCGCAAACTAGCCTATTTATAATGTATGAATTATTTACATAAATACAATCTTTCCAGATCAATGTACCATTTTATGACGTTGCAGTGAATTAGAGTAACAGTTTACATCAATGGCGTCTCTTCCATGCATAAATCTGTTTTTTCCAATAAAATATTATGAGAGAGGATAAATGGCCAACGCTATTTATACACTCGCATTTCATTTTCTGGGTGATCCCCCCCCCCAGAATATTTTTCAGATAAACTAGAACAATTTATATGAAATATTAAAACATTTTTTCCCCGTAGTCTATTTTAAGCCAAAGAATTGACTGCAACAACTATTAAAATTAATAGTTTGCTGAAATATCTACTACGTGACTTTTAAATTGTAAACTTACTTTGTTGCGTTTATTATGGTGGTACAACGCTGCTGTGGAATTCTGTATTGCTGAAATTTCTTGAGTTCTCGGGCTGTAAAGACTGGGCAGTGTTGCAATTTTATTCAATTTTCAAGTTCCACATCTGGAAAGAGTAGATTATCTCTGTATGGAAATTAATAATCCCAGTACAATTTTCCAATAATGATAAATCATAGCATTACGAAGATATATATAATGTATTGACGACAAATTAAAACCGAAAGAAATTGCAAATGTAAAAATATTCCATCAAATCAAAAACAAATCTGGTAATAACATTTCGGTGTTGTGACATTTGTTTGAAACTATATACAATGAAATGTTACATAAGAGAATCTGAAGTTTTTAATTAATTCAGAAATATGGAAAGGTATTCCCGTTTGGAATGTTCACGGCTAGCGACAATTTACTCCTTTGATACCGTCCAATCACTTGAAAAATTAAAGCTTGGTAAATGGTGACGCTACCTGTGATTCCCATATTGACTGTCCCGGACAGTTTACTTGTCAGTGTCTGACTGGTATATACGAAATGCGACCAGGAACACGTAGGAATAGGGGAAAAAAGCAACTAAAAGCCAGTTGCCAGTGTCAAGAGAGCAACAGAACCACAAAATCTGTCTCCCCATCGCCGTCCATAGCAGCAATCGCACGGAAATTGAGAACGGCGAGGGTCGACAGATTACATAGAAATGAACACTAAATACAGCTTTCAAGTACAATCTTCATGGGTGATGTAAAGGGTATTTCCATCTATTTGCTTTTATTTCCATCAATAACACTTGTGGTGGCCTACTTCAATATTAAGGATGTTGTCAATCAGTCGGACATCTAGATCTGTGTTTTCAAGTTTTGTAAGATAGGCTTCCAAAACGAAATGGTTCTATAAGTTCAGAGTTTGTTTTTCCATTAGTTGAGGCTCTACTGTCATTGAAAATTTCAGTTTTCTAATGTAAAACAAAAGACGTTTGAGGTTATTGTGGATTTGGGTAACTTGAGATGGATTCACTTTACCTTATCAGTGAATATAGCTGACTTTGCTTGGTGTCATTCAGCAAGGAAGTTACTTTTAGATACCATTTGGTAATTGCTTTATCAACCAAATAGGCTTCCATTTACAGTGAGTTTGTGGAATTCTTAGTTCGGTCAAACTATTCAATACTTAATTTAATATTGTAAGAGACGCCTAACAGAAATCTACAAAAACTCGTATGAACATCTTAAGTTTCATCACTGGAGACATCACAGCCATAAACTAAAATCGGTCTGATTAGTGTATATAAAAAAACGAGAGAAAAAGTGAAATGTTGGAATTTTGATTAAATCCAATTTTTTATTTCAAAGAAAAAAGGCTCTTTCTAAGTTATTAGAGCCCCTCTTCACATTTACCATTTACACGAATCTGTAATTTGTAAGATCTAACCCTACTAATTTATGTTTCTCAAAGAAAATACCACTGTCTAGATTTGTTTGTAATTTCCACGTGTTGACTGCGGGTTTCCACGTGTTGACTGCGGGTTTCCACGTGTTGACGGCGGGTTTCCACGTGTTGACGGCGGGTTTCCACGTGTTGACGGCGGGTTTCCACGTGTTGACGGCGGGTTTCCACGTGTTGACTGCGGGTTTCCACGTGTTGACTGCGGGTTTCCACGTGTTGACTGCGGGTTTCCACGTGTTGACATACAATGAAAGATTGTCAACACTGCCTTGTAAACCCTGTGTTTTCGACATGACAGTATCATCAGTATAGAGCAGACAGAGATGAGTGGATCACATGTATCAGAACTGACGATTTTCAGTAAATCATTTTACAGCCTTGCTTGACACCTTTGTCAGAATGAAAATTCTGTTAACCCATCCTCACATTCAAGTTTATATTTATCTTTACTATCCTTAAAACGTTTTACGTACATGGAACCTGAACATTGCTACAATCTAAGAGAAATTCTAGTAAGGAGTTGTTAAAATTATTTGATTGGCATATCAAAATCCTTGAATAGAACATGTTCTATATTCACCAAAACAGCGGTGCTGTGTTTCTAGGCACACAACGAAAAATGCAGTCGAACTCGGCCACATGTAATCGCCTGGTGTGAAAAACACAGACCACGGTTACTAAAAAAAAAACTCCCATCTTCGACCGTCTGGTTTTGTTAAAAACAAATGAACAGTGTTTCAATTTGTAAGCCATTTTGTAGGAAGCACCATTTATTTTCAATGCATTTTACAAAAGTATTCGAATACAATAATTTCAGACAGTAGTTTATTTTACTGTGATAAAACATCGAGTACCGACAAAACTGCTGAGTCACTGAAATCAACAACACTCGTATTTGTTATTTTAATGTTCTCGGCGATAGCTACGTAAATTCCACTTTGATTTTTTATAGCATCTCTTCCAATTTTGTAAAATGAATCTCTGATCCCAGATTTCTGCACTATATCACAATATTGCTTTTTCGTATCGTGCCCGTTTTGCTTTTGTAAAATTCCCTGATGTCATCAATATTCCAAGGTAGATGTAGTTTGTAACACAATGTTTTTATTGCCATAGTTCCACGTGTCTGTTTTCAGTGATCTTTTACTAAATGTCATGACTTTCGTTTTAGACAAATTGATTTCTAGTTTCCATTTGATAACAGTATGTGTGAAATTTCATTTTGTAATCCAGATGATGTATGCGACACAAGGTCCAAGTAATCTGCATAGAGAATTGATTGTCTAAAACGGCTGTTCTTTACTAAAATCAAAATAAGGTGATTAATAAACAAGTTCAACTTACACATTCCTGTTTCACACCCTTTATTAATATTAAATATTTCTGTACTTTTATTTTCAATTTTAATATACATGCATTTAATTAATTTATATAGTTTACCATTTCCTATATTTAATAATTTGTAGAACAGATCAGTTCTCCATCAATCTAATTAAAATCCGATGTAGGTATGAGGCTCCAATTTTTTTTTATATATATATATAACCCTTTATATTATATTTATTTGTATTTTAGTTTGAATATGTCGATTTTTTTTTGGTTTTACCAAAAAAATTGACATACCTACATCGGATTTTAATCAGATTGGTACCTATGCTACTGGTTACAGAGATTCCTCTATAATTTACATAATGACATATGGTAGTCCCTGTTGGAATCAGAGGAAATAAAGAATTATGCACCAAAAGCGAATAATATTACACGACTTTTCCAAAATCCTAACATATGGTCAGAAATTAAACAGGGTATGCATTTTTGTATCCAAACTGAATTTCATTTGTCAAGGCTCATGTATAGAGATACGAAACACAAAATGAATCATCATGGACATGTATGTTTGTATCAAATTTGAAAAACCACAAATCCTGTCCAAGATACCACACTTTCAAAAAACATGAATGTCAGTCGGACATCTTTGATCTGATTATGGAACAAACTGACACATGCATGTGCCTAATATGATTGAAAATGGTCCCTACAAATTTGTACCTAAATAGCAATGCATACAATTCAAGTTATAGTGATACTTTAAATACAAAAAATGTATTTAACCTGTACATCAGTCTTAACAAGGTAGATGTCACAAAGATTTATTTACTCCAATGCAGTTTACAGTATACATATTTGCAATTGTTACATTTACATGCCGACATTTTCCTAAAAATTTATATTTTAGGATCCCGTTAAATATTTTTTTTCTCAGGTGCTCCCTGTTTGAGAGTGTGATCACCTGGGTCAAAGGTGAGACCAACATGTGGTCTTTTGTTTTCTACTTAGCGGCGGTGTACCTGTGGGTTTATTCTGTGTGTATTTGGATGTTCTAATCTTGGTGTTTTTCCAGTGATTTCTCTAGGTGTAATTCAAATACAGTAGGTGTGTCTTGTTTACCTGAGATTTGCAAGAGTTTAAGCAGGCCAACATGTTATTTTTTTCATGTGGTTGATTACTGGCATGTTGATTTCCCATTTTTGAAACTTTGTTTATCATTTTCATATAGAAATCTAGTCATATGTTAACATTGTCATCTATGGAATTTCAATTAGTGGTATGTGCCCTACAATCTAAGCTAATTATTTATTTTGAGCATGCTCAGTTTCTCTGTCAGTGCAGTAGGGAGAGATAATTTTGGATGAAAATCCTGAAAAAGACCCACTTAGGATTTTCAGATCTAGAAAAAAAAATTACATTCATACTCGGCAGAGACTTGTTCATCAACCTGCCAAGTTTCATCAATATCTGCTGCAGAATTTCAGAGAAAATGGACATTGACAAAACCCGTTTTAGAAAGTCCCCTTTTCAGCGAAGATAAAGTGGCAAGTAAAACAAACGCTGGTGCAATAAATTCAATACATATAATTTAATATAACTTTAATTTTGTGTTTTACTTATGTTACTCAAATCTAAGGATCACAAAAGTCTTTATGCATCAAAAAATAAATCACTTTTTTATGATTTTATACCATAACCACAACTAGTTAACAAACAGAAAATATTAAAATCATCCAATAACAAAATCATTTAAAATACTGGTAATTAAACTAATATTAACAAACAATATAGTAGAAAACAGTTGGCTAGGTTTCTGAAAGCCGTCTCACATCTAGTGTATATGTATTTGAATAATAACACACTGTTAGGCTTATGTTAAGATAGAAAATACCGTAGTTATGAAATGAACACAATTTATCTTTTAAATTGTCAATATTATATATTCCTAAGGGATATTTGACCTTGTGAGTGTATATTTGCTCATAAAATGTTAAATATATTATCAAAATATATACTTTTTTCAACTTGAATTGTTAATTACAATTACCGATAGTTCACAAGAATGAAAGATTGTAAAAAGAGTTTGTTAATCTGACCCAAGATTGACGGGTGAGTCTACAGTGCAAGGTTACTCATAATGTAGACTAAAAAAAAGACGACTCTGAAACAGAAATAGTTTCTAATTTTAGAAAAGAATTTCACTTCCTTAAAAAACAAGAAAATCCACATTAGAAAGTTTTAAACATATGATGTATATTTTAAAAGTTTCTAGGTTGAGATTGATTAGGAAATGGTGAAATGAATGTGATTGGTGTGAAGTATATGCATGCACACAACCAGCCACATCAAACATTATGAAACTATTACTTGTACATGTATATATGAAATCAATCTCAAACATGTAAACTTCAGTTTTGTGAAAGAGTCACTGAGGGATTAACCCTCTGAATGCTATATTTTGGTGAAAAAGTTTGCACAGTTTTATGTATTTCATTGTAAATTTTTAAAAATTGGAAAAATCCCATAATGAGTAAAAACTAATTTTTTGGAAAAAAATGTGGGTATTTATTTTGTGCAATGTAACAAAAGTTAACATTGAAAGGATTAAGACGGGGAATCAGTGACATCTAGGAAAAGTTATCCTTATACAAATAAGAACATAAATGGTGAAAATTTGACAATATTATAGTTACTATGTTTCAGTCAAAAATTGTTGAATAATGCCAATCATTTTGAGTATGTCGTCACCATTTTGAGTATGTACTAAAGATGAACACAGACGTCTTGGTATTTAAAAGTACACAGTGACACTGACGGAGAGAGTTTCATAGAGCACAGTCCCTCCAAGTTGTGGAGGGACTGTGCATAGAGTAATATTTAGCAACTTTTGGCAATTAATTTCTTACAGAAGAAAAAGAGATTACAAATGCAGTCAATCTACATGCAGGGAATCTCAGTACTACAACTAACAAGCAATACATACACTTTGTAAATGACAAAACTTTAAATAATGGCAGTGTGGTTGTATATACAAAGTAAATCAAGAGAGTAATTAACCCTATCAATGGCATCATTTTCCCCAACACCATTTTGGTTGAAAAGTTTTAAGTGTGAAGAAAGGTGACAAAAGTTGACTTTGTTGTTCGCAGAATTAATGCTAGGACTTAATCTCAGTGAAAGGCACAATTACACATAGATACAATGTTGCCATCTACATATATAGAACATGATTCAATACACAGCTGAATAATTGGAAGCACTACAAAGTTGCTTAAAGAAGATTCTGGAGTGCCTTCAGACTAATGGCATGGAGACATTTAGCATAAACAGCACCAATTTCAGTTGAGAGATTGTACATTTACAGCTTGGTAAATGTTGATGGATAAGTGAATGCCAGGGGTTGCAGCAGTGAAGATCATTAGTTGGAGTTCTCTATTTGCCACTTTCTCCTCTGGCTTCATACATCATCTTAATAGCCTGAAAGGTTAGACAGAAATCAGCGTAACAATTGTTATGAACAAATCAATAATAAAAATTATACATTTTACCATTCCGTAAAAAACTGTATTTGCTTTTGTTTGATCATCTAAAATTTCACTTATTTGGAATAAACATTGAATGTGTTTGATTTGAACACTTTCCTTTCTTAAACTTAAACTCAATTGTCAATAAACTTAATTGTCTTGAACTGTATTATATAGTTTGGTTTGCTGCAAAAAGTTGTGTTGATTATATGTCAGTAGTGCTATCAGAATACACATTGATATTGAAATTAACAGTATCATTAGTGAAAAGTCGCTTTGATAAACTGTGACTACAGCGATGTTAAAAAACGGTTACCAGGATATAGAATTACAAGAACCATTCCTATACAGGGTTTTAAAATCACACAGCTTGTGCCTTGTGAACTCAAAATCTTCTCATTCTATAACCTATACTTACATACCTTTTGCATTGCAACAATCCAAGCAACACTCTGTTTCTTATTAGAGCTTTCGGACACTTCAAATTTAATCTGTCTTATTAAAGACTGGTCTTTGTATTTCAGTGTTATTCCTTTTGGTATAGTAGGCCCTTAAATGAAACAAATAAGAAAGTCTGTATATTTTGCCTGTAAATCGGAGTCACCAATGAAGGTACACAATGGAATGCATAGATACATACAAAAGGGTAGTAGTACATATAGGAAGATATGCAATAAAAACAATTATGTTATTCAACATAAACGAGACAGGAAATTGGCACTTGTAAAACATTAAAAAACAAGATCAAACTAAGACACAACAATTACCATTGGGAAGTGACTCTGCATCAATTGGACTGAAGAATGAAATCTTTTGTTTGTTACCACCACTAATTTAATGGTAAAGTTTAAATTCACAATTTCTAAATGCTTTTTACTCAATGTGATGACAAATTCTCTTTCCTAAAGAGTGGGCAAACAGAAATTGTCAAGTTCTACAAAACTAATTGTTACTTAATTATGAAAAAAATCGCATTTGTGATTGTGACGACACTTCCAAATGGAAATCAGTGAAAATATTGTCAATCACATCAAGATCTATCTGATTCTATGCACATTTCAAGAAATTGTCTGATGGTCTTCTCTATTCATTTTTTGTATTTGACTTGTGTGAACCTAAAATTGTTAAAAGTATAAAGAATATAAATTTGGTTTTGTTTAATTCTCAGTACCTCAAATATAAATATGTGCAACTTTTGAATGTTTTTACTGTGCCACACACTGCATTGTGGGAAATTGATGACAGAGTGGATGTGTATCAAACACTTTATAACTTGCAATAAGGTAGAAGCTTAATCAAAATTGAAAATACCCATAATTTACTCATTTTGCAATGAATTGCACTTCCTGTTAATAAACACTTTCACTGTTGGTTCCTATGGTAAAGATATTAAGTCTTATATCTCAAACTGTAAACTGGTGCAAATAGGCTGAAAAAATTACACATTGCAAATGAATTATCAGAAAAATCTGGTTTTTAAAAGCGACAAATGGAATTTTGTTTTATCATCGAATTGTTTTAAAAATATTGATTTTTGAAAAATATTGGGCAAATTTGGAGAAAAAAAACACTAACACACAAAAGAAGTTATTTTTTGCTATTATAAGACTATAATTCCATGATTGTCATGTGATTTATTATAAAAAATCATGAGTAGACTTCTACCTTGAATTATAATAATTGTGTGAAGTCAACTAACTATTATACTGAGAATTCCTTACATCACTGTCGCAGAACTTTTAATGTTATATTAGTTGCCAAATAAAGAGTAATATTTTCCAGCATAGTGTCAGTACATAATAGTGCAACATAGTGTCAGTACATAATAGTGCAACATAGTGTCAGTACATAAGAGTGCAACATAGTGTCAGTACATAAGAGTGCAACATAGTGTCAGTACATAATAGTGCAACATAGTGTCAGTACATAATAGTGCAGCATAGTGTCAGTACATAATAGTGCAACATATTTAATACAATGATAAATGCATAGAAACAGCCACAATAAAAAAAGACAAAGTACAGTATACCTGATTATATACAATCATATGCAAATAATATACAATACAGAGCACAACTGCTACATGTACAATAGTAACGTTGTGACCATTACAAACTATACAAATTGATTAAGGTCATAGACTCACCAGAATCCCATCATCAAAAAGAAATCATGTTTAATCCATGAGTGAATGAACATGAAATACAAATATGAACGAGATATAATAATAAAATTTATGACATTAGCTAATGCTCTCAAATCTGTGATAAATTGTGGGAATACAAATGCACTCACAACACAGTGTTCAACTTCTTTAGCTATATCCTCAGTAAATACAAGAATGATTGATCTTTATTCAAGTTTAGGGGCATGATAAATACCAGGATGTTGTCACTGGTTATTACTGGTTGTTACATCGGACTCCTACGAGCGGTTGAACATTAAAAAGGATTTGCCCCCCTACCATAGGTGTCACAGACTAAATGGGAAAGTTAAAGCAGAGGGGTTGTCACCTGAAAACATGCACGCTAAAAACACAGAGGCTCATGGGACATTTGTAAACAACAACATGCTATAACCATCTGCAAAATGCACTGGCTGAATTTCATTTACTCACAGCAGGGTTCTCCCCAGGGCTTTTTAGCGCCGAGGTCCGCGGCGCTATACCTGTGAATCTCGGCGCTTCACTTGGGACCTCGGCGCTATGTGTTCCCACCTCGGCGCTTGATTTCATATTCGACATGCCAATATCAGATGTGAAAAATCTTTGTTCGCCACGTCGGTCGGCCCCGACCGTCACTCAAAATTAGTGACCACCACGGAAATGCGAGGACTATTGTCTGATTGTTAGTATAATTACGTACCGACCGACACGCATCCTGTCAGTCGTGGATTATAATTTATAAACAATAGACCTAGTCGCACGATACGTGATGAAC